GGAATTTTAGCTGTTCATTTTAAAAGAGGTTCATTTTTACACTTGTTACTATAGTTGCAAAATACAACGATTTGGCATATACCTATATTTACGTGTCTATTGTATACGCTAGAATAGTGATATAAACAAAGTGTTGCGAATAAAAATGGGATTGGGGTGAGCAAGCTGTATATGAATTAAATTATAAAAAAAAACTAACTAGAAAAATCGATATTTTTTTTATGCGTTCTCTGTCTTTTAATCAAAGTACATTTTTTTCTTTATTCAAACAGAATTTTATATTTTTTGTGTTGATGTCCTTTTTTTGTTTTTCTACTGTCATTTGCTCTTCTTTTTTAATATTCTGCTTTTTTGTTTTATATCCACATACATATATTTCAATTGTTGTTTTCAGAAAAAGAAAAACAAATGGGGAAAAAAATAAGTAAAAGGAAAACTTTAGATAATAATAATGGAAAATTGTGATGAGAAAAAATAAAAGAAAATAAAAAAAATGATAAAATTAAAAAGAAAAATGGCGAAAAAATTTTATTTCATTTTTTGCTCTTAATTTTCATTATTTATTTAAAGATTTTAATTTAATGTTATCATTTTATTTTTATTAAAAATTTCATTTGTTAAGGTGGAAAATTTCATGATTTTCCAATTTATATATGTACCCATATATAGTTATGTATGTATATGAATGTAATGTATCTATGGAATAACATGTTTTATAGGGAATAATGTGTAATTGTAGTTAAAATAAATTCGTATGAAAAAATGAAGAAAATATTAAAAATATAATTGGAACAATAATTTTTATTTGCTTGTTTTTTTTGTTTCTTTATTTTTTTATTAAAAATAAATTGTTGTCTGGGTAATTTTATTGATCCTTAACAACTTCTTAAGAATTTCATTCGATATATGTGTACTTTTTATTTATTAATTTTATATTGAATATAATTATTATTAATTAATAAATCATTTAGTCAAGCATTAAAAAGTTTTCTTATTAACTTGTTAAATTTTTCTATAGAATTTTTACTGAAAAAAATAATAAATTTAATTTGTAGTTTTCCATTATTAAATCAGAAATTAAAATTAGCACAATACATTCTTTAATTTGTATATTGTAAATTGATTAAACACAAACGAGTATTTTGATAGTTTCAAAAAGATGATCCTGACAATTGCTCCCTTTGTTAAAATTTCATAATTCCATGATGCTTCTTCTGCCATAAGTTATTATATATAGAAAATTTAATTATTTAAATTATTTTTATTATTAATTTATTTTTATATTTGAAAATAATATATTTAATTTATAATTTTATATTGAAAATTGATTAGTGCAATGGTAGAAGAGTCATAGAAGAGAAATGTTCTCTTCCTATCATTTTTAAATTTACGATATACATATAATAATACGTATGGATGGTGCAAATAGTAAGTAGATAACAGGGTAATTGCTCTGGATTTCAACTTTTTCTCAATAATTGTTATACAGAAATAATTAAAATAATAAATTCGAAGAATTATTATTTTAATGAACTTATAATTATTAGAACGCTTAAACTATACTGAAGTACAATTTCAAGTCTCGATTTTACGCTTTTTACAATATAAGTAGTATTTTAATATTTTGAATGTTCATAAGTGAAAAGGCGCAATAATATTTACTACCTCCTCGTAATCAAAATTCTGTTACCTCTTAGTAATTAAAATTCTGCTTAAATTTCACAAAATCTCTTATGAAATCTGTAAGTTTTTTTATATTTTTTAAAATTTCATTAATAAATTGCCTTTTATTGTATAAAATTTGCATAGCTTCATATTATATTTATTCACTTAATTTTCAATTTAATTATACTTTTGTTGTTAATGAATATAAGAAATTATTCATAAATCTCTATACCTATACTAAACAAATTTCATATACCTTCAATAGATAAATAGGTATATATATAAATAAATTTCAATTTGTAACATGCTGTATGTGTATATAATCCTAGATGCCATTAGATTTTAGAGTTTAGACCTTTAAAGTAAATAAAGTGTCACCATTAGGTAAAAAAAATATTATTAAATAATATTTATGAAAATTGCATATGGAAATAAAGTTTCTTCAAGACAAATATACCTTTAAAAGACTTGTATCTAAAAATTGCAGGTTTGCTGTAAAAATGAATTCATTTTCAATAAAAGCATAAATATTAAAATCATATAAAAATATAATTTTTATGAAAAATAAAAAGATCAACTCTAATGCTCCGTAATTTCTTTTTAACAATACAAATTTTTATAAGAGTAATTGACTTTTGGAACCACCCAACCTTTTTATATTTCAAAATAACATGTTATACCATAATCGCGCAAAATATTTGCATTTTGCATACACTAAGTAGTATAAAAGTCTACATGGTTATATACATACATATATTGTTTTTTTCAAAAAAAAAAATTCATTTCAGATTTAAAATATGCAAATTTTTTCAGAAAATTTTTAAATTTTTTACCTCAAAAATGCCAACACTAATTTGGAGGTATCAAAAATTACGGGTACATTTTGATGAAATTATATCAGTGTCCTTAAAGTAAATAAATGAAGAAAGTATCCTTTTTTTCTAAAAACAATATAGGATGTAAAAAAGAAAAAAAATTTTTCCGATATTTTGTAATTTTCTTGGAAATAATCTCGAAAAACAAATATCGTGATTTTGTTTTTTTATTATTATTTACCTATGTAATACTTTATGCATATTTTAAGAAGCGCGATATAATGGAAAAATTTTGTAATATATACGATTATGTGTGCATAGATTAAGTTCATAAAAACAAATTTTCGTAATTTTGTACTTTTTGTAAAAAGATTGAATTATTTTTCTTTTTTCCTTGTTTTTTGCTTTTAAACTAAATGGTAATTTTTATGATTTTATTATTTTAAAATTCTACCTTTTTTGTTATAAGTATGTATGTACGTACGTTAAAGATAAAGATAAGAAAACAGTTGAAATACGTATTCATTTTAAAATAAATAAAAGTGCTAAGTTTACTGTGATTAAATTGTTATACCAATAATATTAATGTATGTATAAATGAGTGAATGTTTGAATGTAATCGCATTTATTAAAGGTATAATTATTTTGGTACGTTTGTGTAGGTTGAGTTTACATATTGCGTCTGTAAAAAAATTATGTGTACACATTTTGAATACAGAATCAGACAATATTTTGAATATTTGGTTTTTTAAGAATAAAGTGAAATGCTAAAAACAATAAACATATCTGCACTCTGCACTGCATTGCAGATATATTGTTTATAATTAAAATGTTGAGATACAAATTTTTGAGAAAATGTGTACTCGTATTACTTTGAGAATTTTTGCTGGTATTAGTATTGGTATGGTAATAAAACATAACAATATATTGAGTAGCCGTGCAGTAGTGGACATTACAAGAGAGAAAAGGGAACAAATTTTATTTAAATTTTTATAAGTAAGAAAAAGTGTTATACAGTAGGAACGTATATTAGTTTTAATAATAATTATAATTGCATTATTTTTTGTAAAGAAATAGGTGTTTGAGTAAAAACTACTAAAATAATTTTTTTTTTCAAACAAATACAAGATGTTTCACAATATGGTAAGTGCTCCATGGTTTGTAAGTAGTTGTATTGAATATTCATAGTGATTTGAGTTCCCTCGAAGTAAGTAAGGAAATAAGGAAACAGCAATTCCAATTATTAGTTCTGTAGATATGCGCAAAAATGTAAAATCGTCCCGCAAAAAGATCTAGTCTAAGAGGCCTAACGTATCGCAAAAGTTGATCAATCCATAGCCAAAATAAACTCACATATAAAATTTCATTCAAATCGTTCAGTCGAATTTTAGATACACGCGTGCAAACACAAACCGACACGCCAGCAGCCACAAAGATCGACATCTCTCTAAAATTAGTTTATTTACGCTTCCTTACCATAGAAAAATACGTTCCCATCTAAAACTTGGCATCCAAAATTTGGTGCTATCACATAAAATGCAACGTGGTTGTTAGGCACCTATTTCTCAATTATATTTTTAAGAAATAAGAACTTTAATAATTATTCCGAAAACTAAGAATAATTTTTCATTTAAACTTTTACTCCTCCTTACAGAATATTGTGCTTTTTAAAAATAATTCAATATAATGTGTATACAGCAAAAAAATTTATTTTAAAAAATTAAAATCTGCAAAATAATTTTTTTATAAAATTAATATGTAAGACTAGTGTGTGTGAACAAAACATAAAATAAAATTTTTTTCTATTATCTTTCTCAAGTGTGGTTTTGTTGGTACTAAAATGTTCCTAAACATAAAAGAAATTTGTGCAACAGAATTATTATTTAGCAACATTTATAGCAACAATGCATTAAGCAAAAGGGAAAGAAATAATTCTTATACCAATTATAATAATAAATATTAAAAATAAAATAACCGTCAGACACATTTCGGTACTTTTTTTCTCTTGCCTTTTTTAATGTTCTCGTTTTTTTTCTTTTTTTTTTCTGTTTCTTTTTTACTCTTTATTATTATTGTTATTTCTGTTTGTTATTTTATTATTTCTTTTCACTTTTGTAATATTCTGAAAAATTGTATACTGTTATATTGTATATTATTATGATGATGACTGATGATGATGATGATGAGTTATGCTTATGATTACAAAAAAAAATGTAAAAGTATATAGAGTAGTATTTTTTTATTTTGATTTTTGATGGTCCACCAAAAAGAAAAATCTCAGTCGTGCTCGATATCTCATTAAAGAAACAACAAGACGTGGGTCTAAAATAAAAAAACAGAGAAAAAAAAATTAATAAAAAAAAATATTAAAAACTTGAGCGCATCGAATAATATGATTAAAAAAGGATATTTTTTTAAAATAAAAAAAAAAAAACTAAATTTTTCTTTTAATTTAATATAAAAAAAAAATACGAAATAAATTTTAAATTTTTAAAAAACAAATTTAAACGAAGTGAAAAATTAAAATAAAGTTATGAAACAATTTTGAATTATTTTTTTTTTTACTTGAAAAATAATATTTTTCTTTTCGTAAAATAAATAATAAATTTTATAAATTTTCTAAACTTGAAATAAATCAATTCGAAAAACAAAAAAATAATTTTCTTTGTTAATTCCAAAAAAAAATACCTACATTTAAAAATATATGGATTCGAGGTATAACAAAATTTATTACAGTTATTCAAAATATAACACATTGTTAAAATAATTGAAGAAACGAAGCACAAAAAAAAAACCGGAAAACAAAAAATTTTATTAAAATTGAATTTCAATAATAAAATATTAAAATGTTTATAACAAAAAAATTGATAATATAAAGAAATTATAATAACTACACACCTACATACATACTTATATGTTATACATATACATATAAAGTAAATTCTGTATAATATGTTTTACATTTATACCTAGTAGCTGAGATTTTATTTTTTTTTTTAATAAAAATTTTTATATATAAAAGTATAACCCTTTTTAACTCTTTGACGACCAAATAAGCGTAAATTGGATTATCGATTGGAGGATTAACATAATAATATCAAAAAGAGAAAAAATCAAAAGCAGAAAGTCTAAAAATTTAAAGGTATGTTAATCATTACAAATTTTTATTATTAATTAATTAATAAATTTAAAATATTTAAGTAGTACAAGTAATACATATATTACAAATTGCCGATTGAAATTGTTAATGGGACATAAAATTATTTTTATTTTCTCATATATATTTTAGAAACTGAAACGTTTTTTTATACATACATATGTATATAAATTTAGTTTTATATTAATGAATAAAATATGTATGTATTATCTAGATATTTTTCATATTATTAATGCTATAAGATCTAACATCTTTTATATGGTTTATTCCTATTAGAGAAAAAAAATACCCTTTTGCGTGTACTTCACACTTATTTTTCTACTATTATCTAAAGAATTAATATATGAGTTAATTATATTAATATGAGTTGATATGAAAAATTAATTTCGTTAAAAAATTTTATAAATAATTATAAACGGTTGTCCAAATAGGAACTGCATAATTTACAATTTACCTTATTCAGTAATTAAAATTGTATAGCTGAATATATGAAGTTTTCGTTTGAGAGGCTTCAACGTAAAAACAAATAAACTTATGTTTACCTAGTTAACACCTATAAAATACAATTAAATAAACATTTACACGAAATTCAAAATTGAACCAATACGATGTTAATATCACAATATTATTGCAATTTTAAAGTTGTGGTTACTTAACTAACTCGTTGTAATTATAAGTGCTTTGTGAACAAGATTGAAGATTATTTTGGATTAAATTAAAATACCCAAATTTAATTGTCGGTTTAGTTAGTTGTTTTTGTTGTGCTTTATACGAAATCATCATATTTGGTTGCATGTTGTTAAATATGAAAGGGTTAATAAAAAAAAATAAAAACAAAAATAAATACAAATTAATAAATATTTAAAAATACAATTAGTTAATTCTATGTTATGTGCGTATATGTATGAAATATATTTATAAAAAAACCGTTGCATTTTTTATATATGTACATACATATGTATATAGGATTATTTTTTATATATAGGAACACAAAAATAATATAAAAGGTGACTCTAACTTCTTTTGGAGTAGTTGGACAAGACTTATTTTATTTAATATATTACTTTAACATTGATACACACACACATATCTATTTAAGCTTTTTATAAAAATTATTTAATTGTATTGCATATTACTCATTTAAGTAGACTTTACTGCTGTTTAGTTTTTCGGGTTTTTATTTTTGACACACTTCATTTACAGTGGCTTACATCTAATGAACTCATAATTGACTGTAGAATTCATATGCGATTTAACCTATTTACATAGATAATTTTCTATTTCCAAGGTAAGATCTCTTGTCTAGATTATCCAATCATCTGATATTGATTTCGAATTTGTAAAATGTTGGTCTTGCAATTTTGATTATATTACAATGACGACAAGTCATCTTCGACAGTTGTTGAAATGACTGAAAAATTGGAATTTAAAAAAATTGAAAAATTATAAATAATTCAAATTTGATTCGGTTTTCTTTGGACAAACAAAGCTAAATCGACTCAGAATTCGACATTGATCAAAAACGTATTTTTTCTTAGCGTTGTAAACGGTAAGGAAAATTTAGTATAACCTTCGAACATACGTTCGTACTTATTCATAATAGTATTTTAATTAAATTAATCTTTCTTCGAATTATGTAAGTTATAAGTACTTATACACAATTTATATTATGTATATGCGTACATATTTCAATATTGTATAAGTATTTATTTCTGAAAATACTTTATTATTTTTCCAAAACAATGTTATATGTATATAGGTGCCTCAGTAGTGTATTGTATGTAGCTACATTTATGCACTTATGCACTTATAATAATTCAAACGGATTGCAAATATGATAATTACTTTTACAAGTAGGAATGAAATTCATTCTTTTTGCTTTTTATTTTTGACTTTGACTTCTTTTTTATTTTGCTTGTTCTAATAAAATTTCCGTGTATATTTTTTGCCAAAAATAGATTTTCTACATACTTGTGTAATTTACGTATATATACACTTTGCGTACATTCTTATATACATACGTATGTGAGTTTAGCTGCATATTTGCTTAAATATGCATATTGTGGATTATGTACGTACAACCTACAAGTATATGTAAATACATATACATAAATATGTTATTTATTTTTATTAAATAAGCTTAAATTCTTTATAAGTCGATTTGGGTTTTTTGCTTTGTATAATTAATTTCTCTTGCACTAAATAATTCATACTAATTTTTAATTTTTTTTAAATATATTTTAGTTATTCCTTTTTTATTATTTATTTTTTTTTTGTTCTTATAACGATATTATTATTTTTCTTTTTTTCTAATGACCTTAAAACATTTTTAAATTTTTTTTTTTAATTTTTAAATTTTTGCACTTTTATACATACATACATAAATGCATATTTTTCTAAAAATGCAAAGAAAATTTATTTATTTATTTTTTTATAAATTTCATACATGTACATACATATATATGTATATATCCATATAATATGAATATACATTTATGTTATGTAGATTTAAAAACATAACCAAGTATATAAATTATGTGCACAGATATGTATGAATGTATATATGCACATTTTACTTATTATAGAAAGATATGATTTTTTTCTTTTATAAAAATATACAGTGGTGAGGTAAAATTTCTTTACCTTTGTTTTATAGAAAATTATAAAGTAAAATTCATTTCTAATGAAATCTACTCATTGTAATTTTAATTAAATTTAATTATTATGCGCAGCGAATTGTATTTATATTTAAAAATCAAGTATTGTTGTCTTTGGTCACAAAGATGGTATACTAATAAAACGGCAAGGCACAATGTGAATTATGCTAATGAGAATGAATCGATCAAAATATTATTGTATAGTTAATTAATTATTATGTAATTAAATTATATGACAGCTAAGTTAGTAAATATGAACTGCAAAACTTTAGTGTAATTCGACCGAACGCAAAAAAACTGACAGAATTCAAATAAAATTCATGTCAACAAAGAGATGCCAACTTTCATTTATTCAGATTTTTCTAAAATTTTTCAACTAAATCGAGACTCGTTCGGTTAAAACTTTTTAGGAATTTTCTGTTGCTTTTTAAACAGGTCTACTTAATTAAATGTTGTATTTGCAAAGAGTGTTTTACTCCAATTGTTATGTACTAAGATCCTATTGAATCAATCGTTAAAAATTTTCGTATTAGTAATTCGACATGAATTTCGAAAAGTAACATGTATATACATAATTGAGTTAGCATATACATAACTAAGTAGACTATATGTGTGTATACATATTAACCATGCTAATTAAAACATAATTTCATTAAATGATAGACTGAGTATAAATCCCTATAATTTTATTATGTTATGATTGAAAACATTACATTTTGAAAATTTCAAGCTCTCCGACCATATGTTCATACTCGAATACACCTAATTTGTTCAATGTTACTTGTACCTTATTTTTAGTTTGTTGCGTTACGTAATTTCGTTATTTATTCTTTATAATATTTTCAAGAAAATCAAGTCGAAATTTATCTGAAGGGGGATGGGGGACGGGTAGATTAGGTATAGGTGATGAAACTATTTTTTAATTAACTTAAAATTATAACTCACTACTGTAATTATTATTTTATATTTAAAGTTAGATGCATGAGTCAATATGTAATATAACACATGCACTGTTTTTTTTCTTTCTTTCCTTTTTTAGTACATACGAACACACACATGCACACGTAATACGTTTTTGAAAATGTGCATCAATAGAGAAACAAAAAAGAAATAAAGATTTTTTGGCGAAAATTTGTTCTTATTATTCTAGCGATGTGAAAACTTATGATGTTTTTTTTTAAAAATTGAAAAATAAACTTTAAAAATTTTCTTAAAAAATTTTTTTTTTTTTTGAAAAAATTTTAGTATGTTTTATAATATACATGAAATATATAGATGCATTTTCCTTCATATATAAGTATGTATATTATGGCAATTGCAATCGCATATATTAATATGTACATATGATGAGGTTCATTTTTGAAAAAAAAAACAAAGAACAAATAAATTAAAAAATATTAAAATTAGAACGAATTTTGTTAAAAATTTTTAAATAAAAATGTAAAAATGTGTATGTATGTATGTATATTTAAATATAGGTATACTTATTGCAAATTCATATGTACATATTTTGTTTGTTTTTTTCTTATATTTCTTTAATTTTTATTATAAAACACAATAATTCAAAGTCAATAAAAAACTTGGCAAAATTTTTATCGGTAATTCAAAAAAATATTTGCGAAAGTCGTGGTATCGTAAAATAAATTACCTGTTAAATTACAAAAATTTTAATTCATAATAAGTTATACCTTAAGTTCTACCTTAAAATTGTATAAGTAGTTATATTAAAATTAATTATATAAAGCTTTGTCAATTCATGCACTTTTTAGATCACAATAAAACAGAAGAGTTAATTTAAAATTCTTTAAAACTCTGTATACTTTGTATGTCAGTATGTTTGAGTTTTGTTTTGAAAATTCAATATGGTTAAATGATTTTGTTTTAATAATTTTCTATGTCTATAAAAGATTTGATGTGTAATATTTAATACGGAAGAAATTGAGGGTGACGAATAGAGTTGATCTTGCAGAAGTTGTCAATTTTGTTTTAAGTTGTTTTCTATGTCATATCTTAAAAATCTGTTTTATGGAATGCAGATCTAACTAAGGATAAATTAATTTTTTTCAATGAAATCGTATATAAAATTTCAAATTTGGAAGACGAACGAAATTCTAGTTATGTATCAAGAATAAAAATTATTTAACAAGAGGAAAAAAACTGTTTGCGTATATATACATATGTATATATATGTATATGTGAGTGTTTATAGGCAAATTGTATTTTTTATATATAAAACAATTAATATGTAAATAAAAACGTTCATGTATTTATTATGACGGTGTACTATAACTATAATTTAAAAAAAAAATTATAATTTTTTTCTCTTTT